AAAATGTAATGCTTTGACATTCTAATTCTACGCCAAAGAAATACTGTCAGAGAAATAATCAGATATTCACAGTAATTTTTACATAAAATGCTAACCTTATCAATACCTTGAAAAAGCATACTAGTGTAACAACATGTAAATGGTTCACATATATAATACTACAGCATAATAAAGTCTGTTGCAGAAAAGTATTTAATAATGTGATATAATGTATTTTTTAATTATAGGGTCTGGAATCAGATATCTTAAGTTCACCGCCAGGCTCTGACACATTCTTGCTGTGACTATATAAGAGGAACCACAGCTTCCTTTCAAGTAAAACAGAAATAACAATAATTTAATGTATTTAATCAGGGCTATTAGCAGGATTAAATAAGTTACAAAATATAAAGAACACAGCATACTGCTTGATATATAGTAAGCACTCAACAAATAGTATCTTGATGAATAAAACATATAAAACCCCATAAAAGTATATATTCAATTGACTTTAATTTTGTTAAGTAAGGAACCAAAGGCATATGCACAGAAAAAACTCTAGAAGGGAATTCACCAGGAAGAGTTTCAGAGTCCTAACTCTAGATGGTGGGATTACATGAGATTTTTATTCTCTTCTTTACATTTTTCTATATTTTCCAAATTTTCAACCATAAAGATGTATTACATTTATAATTTTAAAATGTTCTCTAAAATATTAGCACATGCTGACTTGATAACTGGTGACAGCATTTTACAGTGATTGTGGAAATAGTCTGAAAAGTTTTCCTCTAGACTGAAGCACTACAATTACTTGTTTTTCATGAGAGATGCATATGTGAAATATGTGCATATGTGAGAGATGCATATGAGGTTCTAGACTCAAAGATCTAGAGTCTACAACCTAAAGCCAAAAAGACATTTTCTCAAAAATGTAAGGGACATGGGGAATTCATACACATGGTTTTGAGCTTCTGTGTTTCAACAGAAATTTTACAATGCTTATCATATACATATAACTTAAGTATAAGATAAAATAATATTTATATTTATATTATAGCACTTCCTAGTTTTTTAATTTATCTGTGTACATGTCCTTCTGTTCATGCACACCATGTGCCCCAAACTAGAAAAATGTCTGGAAAAACTCCTAAAATGGAAAAAGAAAACCTGTCAACCTAGAAATCTATACACAGAGAAAATGTATTTTAAAAAACAAAAGTGAAACAAAGACTTGATCAGATATACAAAGCTGAAAGAATTCATCACCAGCAGACCTGGTGATCAAATGGGAAAGGAAGCCCCTCAGGAAGAAAAAAAGTGATGCCAAGTGGAAAACAGAGGAATAAAGAACACTGGAAATGGTCACTGAGAAGACGTAAGACAGGAAAGCTATAAAGCACTCCAGGCAACAGGAAGAGTAACAACAGATATTAGGCTGGATTTGCTATCTGCATTCAGAGACCAGTGTGAGAAGGAGGCATCCCACAATTAAAATGCAGGTTTCTGATCCTACATAATTCTTCCTGCCCGCCTCAATACAGAGAGTATTAAGAGATGAAGAGAGCTCAATATTACTTGATTATTATTTTCATTAAAAGAATATTAATTTCAAAAACTTTTTTCTCATTTCAAAGTGATACATTCATTAAAGAAAAGATTTGAAAATCTGATACACAATTAAAACAAGGAAGTAAAAGCCACCTTTAATTAAGAAAAAAGGAGGGAGGGAAGGAGGGAAGTTCTACAGACTGCTATTTTATTTGAAGGGCATGTCATTTTACCTTTTTTAGAGGAAGGCTGTGGTGATTAATGCGGAGACCAACACAAGAAACTATAAGCATGAGCAGGAGAAGGAAGAAAGGTAAAAACAACTGGATAGGGAGAAGAGGAATAAATAGCACTGGTTACAAAAAAGGGCAGGTGCCCAGGGTTATTGCCACCACAGATTGACCCTGCAGCCCACAAGATGATCAGCCAACAAGGTATTTACCACATAAACGGTTATTATGGTAGAGAAAAAGTTTTCTGGTATCTGATACCCACTTTGCTTGAATCCCTTACCCTGAGAGAGGGTAACTTTTAGATGCAACCTCACAGAGTAATAACTGATAATCTCTGTCAAATCTTGGCTCACAATTAAAAGCACAGAAAAGACAAAGGATAAGTCCTTACGGTAACAATTAAATACACAGCTCTCTGCATCAGACCATCCCAGAGTAGAAAGGATACAGATAATAGAGGCTTTGCAAAATTTTCCAGAATAGCAGAGGAAATAGCCTGTTTTCCCTGGAAACGCTGTCTACTGGAATGGAATTTATGGGAAGGTACCTGGCTAGTTTGTAAAAGGCATTTAGCCCTGGCCATCTCCTCGATCATTTCCATGTGCTCACAAACACAAGTGTGCGATAACAACTGCTCTCCAGCCTCAGTCTGGTATTTCTGAAATCCCCCAATTCTTAATCTAAAAACCAGAATCAACAAGGGTAAGGCTAGTAAAAATACCTAAGTGGGAGTTTTCTAGGGTTTGTTTAATGTTATGGGATAGTTATTTATTGACATGATGTATCTAGGGAGGGGAAACAAAAACAAAAGTCCTACCTCACAGGGCTTATGTCAACAAAGCCACCAACAATGAATGAGAGGGAGACCAGCTGGAGCAACATTAATGAACTCTGAACAACCGAGTCTTCCTCAAAATGCTTGACAGCAAAGTGTTCAATGTATATGAAAATACATATCATAGCAGTAATATTTCAACTCTCTAAGGAGTAAACAAGCAAAAAATTTGATTGTAAGAGTGACACAAGAGTGTATGTGCAGCGAGGAAACCATCCACTAAGGAATTAGGACAGACGGACACAAAGAAAACAGAAGTTTCCATTCAGACTTAAGGGTACCTCAGGGGGTCACACGGGTCCTGCAGGTGAGAGAGTTTGCTGCGGGGTAAGCAGAACAGGATTCTTCATCAGTTTTATATGTTGGTGTTACCAAAAAGATGGTAAAAAATAATTAAAATCATTTAAACCAACACCTGAATGAGAGGATAAACTACACTGCACTGTCATTTCACATTTGATATCTTCTCCAAAAAAAAAAAAACCAAAAATGAAAGGAACAGTGTTCTAAAATGATAATAGAAAAAAGCCTGAGAAACAAACATAGGAGCCAAAAACAAATCAGATCTAAAATGCATTTTTAATTTGCCTCTTTAGCCCAGCATTATTACTGTCTTCTGTTAGTTAACATCCATATAATTCATTCTACTATCAGCATTTTCAGTTCTGTTATTATACAATTCATTTTGCTTTACAGATTCATTAAAGAGAACTAGAGAAATAGTGTATTAAAATATCCTGTGTACATTCATAAACTCATGGCACCAAACACTAATGGTTAATATATTTAATATTATATAGCACAATATTTAAATGTACTAGGTAAACACTCATCTAAAAGGACTGAGGAAATGCACCCTGGGACTGATAAAGCAAAGTTCTTGTATCAGTATAAATACTAAAACTACACAGAAGAACAGATCAGTAAATAGGTTAAGAGAAAACAAACCAAATTTTAAAAATGAGTGATGGAAAACAAATAGGTTTGAGTTTAGAACAGTGGAAATTGACTAAGTGATGAATGAGAAATTTTCTACTTTTTTAATCAATTAATATTTTAGTTTGGCTCTGTGGTCCATTTACTTAAGAGAGATGATTCATAATAATTTTGTATTGTTTGAATACTAACAATAAGAATTACCTCCTTTAACTTTAGAATGACTTACAAATTTTTTTCATGAAACTTAAAAGATGCAGATTTTACAAATTTTTGCTCACCTGGAAGAAAAGTTCTAAGACAAAAATGGGATATATTTACTACTACCATTATATAATTTGTTGGAGAGGCAAAGACATTATTTCCTTAACTACCCTGAAAAGGAGGAAGACTAATAAATTACTTTTAAACACAAAATACTAATATCCCACTTTGAACATTTGTTCAAAAGATTCACTTCAGACCTTCTCTGTTCAAGTGTTATGAGAATATAAATAAGGCTACTGGCTAAGATGTGGTCCCTAACGTCATAGGAAGAGTTGCTACTGAAGGTGTGCTTTCTGTTTAAATCAGTCAATTTAGTTGCCATTGGGAAGTATCTGTGTGTATCAATGTTTTTAGAACTACAAAAGAAATAATGCTACTATTGGTCTCATCTGAGTCCACAAATGATTTTCAACATGCTTTATTATTTCTGGATAAGCTAGTTAAGTGACAGATACCTAAACCTTGAAAAAGAATCAAAATTTTGCATTCATATTTTTGGGTCTGCTTTTATTTCTATTGCCAACCTTCTCCCAACTTGTTGCATCAGGAGCCTAGGATTGGGATTAATCAAAATCTTTATAGATACTTGTAGCTTGAGATGATGAAAGCTAAGACATAAAACAAAGACCATCTGATGCTCTGGTGTGCATCCAAATTACCCAAGGTGGACGTTAAATACTCTCCTAGAGATTTTAATTCACAGGTTTTAGTGGCACTCAAGAACCTGTGTTTTCAGACAGAACATATTTAGATATACACTGATCTCCAAAATTACCATCACTGCAGATTTAGAGTTCCTATTTTCCCTTCTATCTACATCATATTCAAAAGTATCAGAACTATTATCATTTATTTTGGTACTTCTGAAGTGCAATTATATGGTGATCTCCACAGTACCTATTCTTAAATGATATACACTCATGTTTCTACTCACTTCTAACAAGATAGACAGATGAACGGATAGATACAAAGGTAGACAGATACGGATAATAGACCCATCCACCTATTTACCCACATTAAAGAAATGTCTTCTACCTACAAATCATAAATTAATTCAAGTATTTTAACTTTTTTCCACATCTGAGACACGCTCTGAAATTTTGTCCTAAAAAAAAAAAAACAAAAGAAAACTACCATTGAGAGAAACTCCCAGAAATGTTTCCTAAAAGACTTTTAGTTATTTACAACAGTAGTTGGCTCACCTGCCATCTCGCTGAGCAGCACCACCTTCTGTTACTGTCTTGACGAATATTCCCAGCTTTTCAAGTCCAGCATCTGCTCCAACACCCATTCCAATAATACTTATACCAAGTCCATCCTCATCTATGAAAAAGGAAAAAAAGATGCAACAAAGTTTTACCCTAGTCTGCAATTAGCTAGTGAGATCTATTTGCTGCTCTTAATTTTGTTCTTTGCGAACCGTACTGACGTGCTCGCCTTGACATAATTTTTATTCTACGCTGAGGAGCAAGGACGTCAGATAAGACCAACCAAAAGGCTCTTGAGTTTAGTCTCATTTTACTAGCATTTGGCTATTCATTGTAATCCCAAGAAAAGGTAATAATTTGATTATTGAACAATTAATCTGCCTTAAAACACAGCCTCTCTAAATAATACAATATTTTTAAGCACAGAGTATACTAAAACATACATAAAGTACTTTAAGTAAATGTGAAAATAATATATCTGGAATCTACCCTTTCTTTATGTGGTCTTCCTTTTCTTTTTAACTTGGTCCAAATCCCTGATCATGTTAAACAAGACGGTTTGTGTTTTTCAGTACTTTTCTCTGTCATACTATACAAGCATATAAACATATCATCAACTATAGTAGATACATATATATACGCATATACTTAAATATACATATATGGCTTGTTTTTCCTCTCTGTTTCCTTTACACAAAGAAGATCATATTATACCTGCTTCTCTCTGAGGCTTACTTTTCTAATCCAATGATACCTCATGGATAACAACTTACACAGTTGTTCATTTTAAACTTAAATCAGTTGTAATGCATAATATTTCATGGTGAGATGGTGTCATAACTTATCCAACCATTTCTCTACTGACAGGCATTCACTTTGGTTTCCATTTAACTCACCAAGTGAACAACACTGACAAACAAGTTGTTTTTTAATTCACTTATAAATATTTCCATATCTCCTTTCTATGAATATATACATACAAACATCAGTAAAATAAAATTTACACTATTTTGCATTCCACATTTTTTGGTTAACAAAGTTATTTTCTGATAGCCTCAAAGTTTTTATAATAATGGTGTATTAGCTGCATAAAAATAGATATTAGCTAATCAACAGTTGCAGATTGTTAAAGGAAAACTGGCTCATGTGCTCAATAGAATGCTTGATGCTTTTAAAAAACTTTTTAGCAATAACCTTTAATTTACTAAGTATTTAATCAGTAATCTTTTGAATATAGTTCACCTCACTGATTATTACTTATTACAACTTCTGCTTTAAGTATTTCTAAGTACAACCCATCATCCTACATCTTTATTCTACATATGTTTAAAATTATGTTATTTGGCAAAAGTGTGAAGTGTTTGTTCAGCTGTATGCTAAAGAAAGCTTACAGAGCATTCTTCCTGGAGGAAATGTCTGATGTGACCATCAGCTGAAGACACACTCAGATTGATTCTAGGCATTAGGTATCTCTCCAGTGTGAGAACTGTTGACTGAATGAGTGATCACTGGACACTTTCCTTCATTCCTTACATTTAGAATATCTGCACACATATCATTTCCCGTATTCATTTCATTCTAATTATTTCTCTGGTATAGATATTAATGTCCATCTAGAGGCTCCCTCTTGCTAAAAACTTTCCTACATTTATTACAGTTTTAAGGTTTCTCCCCAGAATGAGTTTGATTGTGCACAAGAAGGTTAGATCTGTGTTGAAGGCTCTTCCTCACTGGTTACACGTATAAAGTTTCTTCTCTCCCATATGAATGTTCTTGTATGTTTAAAGGTTAGCTGTATTGCTGAATTCTTGCCCATATTCATAGGTTTTCTCTAGAGTGTGAATTTGTTCTTGTTGCTGTAGGAGTGAATGATGACACAAAGTCTTCCCACAGTGTTTACATCCACATAAGTTGTTTTTCTTTCTCCAGTATGTTTGCTTTTGTGTTGTTTAAGAGATGAGCACTGTAGACTTTTCCACATTGAATAATATTGTAGGGTTTCTCTCCTGTATGAAATCTCTGGTGTACATTAAGTATTAGCTGGATTCTTATTCATATTCATTGTATTTATAGGACTTTTTCTTCACTATGAATTATCACGTATCAAGCCAATACTGAGTTCCCATACGCAGTATATTTAAAGCGCTCTATTCAAATGTGGATTCTCTGTACTATATACCATTAGTTTCTTCCTGCAAATATTCTGCATGAAAATTACGTCTTGGTTTTTAAATACATTTTTCCTACCTGGACTCAGGCTTTAGTAAAATTATCTTCCTTCCTTCCACAGCTCCTCTTGTTGCTCTAACTGGAAAATTATTCAGATTTGTAAAGCTGAAAACCCGATTATGGGAAAAAACTACATTAGCTTGAGGCATTCTCAATTTCAGTGCAGACAAAACCTAAGAGACATGGTGATAACTGGAAGGCACATAAAGGAAGAGTATACTTAATCCACAGAGGCCCGATGACTGATCTCACCTCTGTACAGCTTCTCTGAGATGCCAAGCACAGGTGAAGTCAAGAGTCATATACTGGAAGGCCACAATTCTTGTGGTTGCACAGAAAGAGCCCGATAGTCACCCTGTCTTCCTCTGTATATACTCTCCTAGGGACAGGCAGAGCACTAAACTAAGAAGGCGAAGCAGTCAGGAAAAGACAGAAAAGAATATGAGGCTGTGTTAGGAAGATGCTATCACCACGCTCCGGAGCTCAGAGCTTATTTTCTCTACCAGGAAAAAAGCTCATGTTGGTTTAGCATTCCCCTTATTGCTGGTGAGATTTGAGCTTGTATTCATATGAACATGGGTCATTACATTTCCTCTAAAGTAAAGTGCCAATTTTTCTAATGAGTTTTATCTCTTTTTCCTGATAATTTGAGAAGATTCTTGGCATATTATAGGTATTAACTCCATGTCATCTATAATGAAGATTCTGCCCCCTCAAATTTATCACTTATCTACTGGTTTTGTTTGACAATATTTTGCTTGATAATTTAAAAGTTTTAAAATTTTGGATGAATGAACTGGTCAATCTTTTCTAATTTCTGGTTTTCCATTTTAGTTAAGCCCTTCCTCTCCCCAACACCAGATAATATATGTACTCATAAATTTTCATCATATATCCTTATTATTTTTAATATTTCATGATTTAATTCATGTAGAGTTGTTTTTATATACGACATAATAATAATAAAGGTTTCTAACTTCAGATTCTTTTAGACAGATTCTCAGTTACTTCAGAACCATTAAAAAGCGGCCTGTTGCTTCTAAATTAGAGTATCATATGTGTCATGTTATTAAATTCTTTGCATACTAACATCTTTCTCTGGACTTAGTATCTTGTTCCACTGATCAATTGCTATATGAATACAATTTGTTCTGATTATAGAGGCTTTACATTATGTTCAGGTATTTGGGAAATCAAGCCCTTTCACATTCTTTTTCATACTTCCCTTAGGTCTGTACTTTCCCATATAAAATTCAGTATTATACTATGCAATCCCCTCTCCCAACCCAACTCTGAAGGCAGTTCTAGTTGAACAACATTAAATTTATATATTAACTTATAAGTATAAGGGATACAGCATAGGAGAGACTTTCCTACTGAGTCTCTCATCCAAGAATATGGAATATCTATTTGCCTCGATCTTATATCTCTCAAAAAATGTATTTTCCACAGATAAATTCTATGTTTTTCTTAGTGATTAATTTAATAAGTATTTTGTTGTTTGGGGGCCATTGTAAATGAAATACTGTTTTCACTTTCATTTTTAGCTTCCTAAAGTGAATATAGAGAAAAAACTATTAATTTTCTTACATGAATCTGGAACCTGACCTCCTCTTTTACAAATAATTTTATTAATTCTAATGTTTTTAAATTAGAATCAAGTTGGTTTTTCATATATGTATTTGGCTTTTCACATATACAATATATATAC